GATTTGGTTTATTAAGACTCGGATTCTAGAACACCTCCGACAGTCATAAACAACTCCCTTCGTTTCTCCAAGTTTATATTTATCTCCCCGTACACCGTTGGGGTTAAATTGGCCTTCGTTCTATATAATTCTATTGAGCTCTCCCATCAACGGTTACATTTGGTGCCGATTGTGTGGAATGAATAATTAACCTCCCTAAAAATTAGTAAAATAGCATCAGCCCATTGAATACATTAAAGAAAACAATTGAAAAAAAAAAAAATCTATCTATGAGCCGGGAACAAAAATATGGCTCAACCTTTTAACTCGACCCCTCAATATAATTCGTTTAACCAGCCTGACCAATCCGCTGCTATTGAAAACCTAGTTGCACAGACCAAGGCCCTTATCCAACAAATACAAATCACCAATGCTCCATATGCCTATAGTAACAAAGTCTTTCAACCCCCTAACGATATAATAGAGAACCCAACAACTCTCAAGAAAAGAGAATCGCAATCCACCACCATAAAACCTGTAGGAAAAGTTTTTCCTAAGAAAACTTTGTGTCCCCAATGCCGAGAAAGAAGCCATCCCATCCTTGAATGCCCCGACGTAAAGCCCTTAGATGAAAAGTGCACCAGGCTTTTTACGAAACTTACCCCGGACCAACGTGAAGAAGTTCTCCGTATCGTATACGAGAACTTCCCCGAAGTTGTTGATGATAGGCAAATCCCGGAGGTCCTAAAATTTTCGATAAAAATAATAAAAGAATTAATAAACGAAAAGAAGGAAGAAGCAAAAGAAGCGGTATACTTATCTTCCTGTACGAAGGTGCTGCCTAAAAAAATTCGCCCGGTAAAGTCAAGCCCACCTGCCGCAGCCGCAATCCGTAAATCATATGAAGTTCCCGAAGTTGTCCCAGAAATAGATTTGGATGGTTTAATCGACGGCTATCTCGAATACTTGGATACCTGGTTATCCGAATCTAAAAAAGCCTGCCCGCCCAAAGTTGGAAAAGGAGAAAATAGCCCTGATCATGCTGATGGAAAAAACGAACCCGGCTATTGTTATCGAAATGGAATCGAGGACAAAAAGGGCGAACATGAAGCATTCATTTATCAAAAGCCGGCCGATATAAAGAATGCTAATGAAACGAATAATGTCAGTTACTGTTATCAAAATGGAATCGGGATTGAGGAAGAAAGTCAGGACGGAAAACCTGCCAATACGGGTTATGGAGAAGGAGTTGGTGTTAAGAAAGATGAAGAAGAAGATAACGGATACGACATTTACCTTGATTATCTGGGAGACCTCGAGGATAACGACAACGATGATTTAGATATTAAAGCCGAAATTGGAATTAAAAAGTATGAACGAGATGCCTTCGTTCATTATCAAAAACCTGAGGAAATACAAGATGGGATGCCGGTTGTTAGATATTTTGGAATTGGAGTGGGAATCGAAAAAGATGAAAATAACGCACCTGCTCACTATCAAAAATCAGCAAAGATGGAACTTGCTGACGAAGCACCAGACCATTGTTGGTCCCACCAGGAGGGATTTCGTAAAAGCCGAAGATCGTCCCTTGGTATCAGAAATATACCGAGAGTGATGACCCCGTTGCGATATGTGACGATGTATATGAAAATGGACGTGGAAGTAGAAAAAGGAGTATGAATGAGTGGTATTTGAAAAGTAACAAAGATAACGGATCAAATAAAAGAACTAACCTTGAGGTTCTTAAGAATCGTGATCCCGATAATAACGACAATGTAAAAATGGATAGTAATAAGAAAGATGATGATTGGAAGACGATTGTTAAAGAGACGAATAAAAAAATAATAGGACTTGTTAGTGATAAGGGAATAGTGAATAACGATAGTAACAAAGATTGGAATAAAGGATTGATTAAAGAAAGTGAAACGTACCTTCACCGTGAAAGTTTTGATGAACCATTTGCTGATTTAAATAAGGCGCTAGAAATCGAATTAAAGAATGCAGAGGTATTAGAAGATGAAGAAAGAAAAGTCAGGAATAAAATTGAAAATCAAAGGCTCACTTACCCCCGTAAGAAAAAGAGAGAAGCAACGCCGCCCGACTTGCACGAGAACTTGGAAGGTGATAACCTAGCTAGACAATACGATCTTGGACCTTGCTTCCGAATTGGCATAGGCATGATTAAAGACGGATGGATGGCCTATGAATGGAGTTTAAAATTGGCGGACCTTGAGAATAAAGTTAAAAATAAGAGGATGCGTTTAGGAGATCGATTTGAAGATTCAATGATAGGAATCGAGAATAGTATGAATAAAGTCGAAAATGAAAGCCCTGATATAATCGACCCATGGCTTCGATACATACTAATTGACTGGCCTTTGCCATTATCTTCGATCCCGGAGGAGATATTCGCTTACGCACCTTATGACCCTACTAAAAGAATCATGTGCCACTCGTGATCTCCAAATGAGAAATTACTGGCGTGTTAGATACCAAATGATTAACTATCATAGTGCAGCACTATATGATTGGCCCACTATGTAAGATTTTTGAAATTTTGTCGATCAATTTATCGAGAAAATTTATCATAGTAATTTTATAATAAAAAACTGTGCATTTTTAAAATGTTCTAACTCCCGTTCTAGTAAAGCAATTTCAATTCTGTAACTTGCAAGTGATATGTAAATAGTAAGCTTTTAAAACTATGTTGAGACATTTTTCATTTCATTTTATTAATATGGCTAAAATCATAAATTACTAAATTTTAACAGTTTTTTAAACGATTAAGTTATAGAGAGCTACTAAAACTTACATATTAATGTCAAATATGGCAACATAGTTTTAAAAGCATATTATTAATACACCATTTGCTTTTTACAGAATTAAATTTGCTCTACTATAGCAGGAGTTAGAACGGTTTAAAGGTATTGTTTTACATACCGTATAAGAGCCCAGGGACGTTATTTTGATTATTGGCCCGAATTAAGCTTAATTTAGGCCAAAATTTGAAATTACACCCCTGCGCGTTATTTCGGTAATAGTTATTAGAGTTCAATCTTGCGCTTTGATTTGAGCCACTGTATATATTGCATTGAAGTTTTATTTAAATATGTGTTGTATGTACGTATGCATTGAATTAATTTAAAATAAGCATACTAGTTTCAATTAAATTTTCATAATATAATAGGATTCCGTTCTTTATATGTTATTAAGATTTCATAATTACGAAATTACTTGTATTTTGAAAATAAATGGCCATTTATTATTTAAATATAAATTTGTATTCGTTTTTTATTTTTTTTTATTTCAATTGTATTAAACATGACTCGCCATACAAAGAAAAGAAAATATTTGCAAAAAATTACTGAAGATCGTGAACCTAAAAAACAATGTTGTAGCATTTATATGCTTATCGATTCTTTGAGTCATGAAGAATTAAAAAAAGTTCAAAACCACATTAATTTGCTAAACCCTCAATTACGAAACACTAATATCTATGAAGTTATTAATTCCTTGAACCAGGAAGTATTAAAAAATATTCAAACCCATATTAATTCGCTAAATCCTCAATTACGAAACATTAATATCTACGAAATTATTAATTCTTTAGACCAGGAAGAATTAAAAAATATTCAAAACTATATTAATTCACTAAACCCACAATTACAAAACATTAACGTCTACGAAATTATTAATTCCTTTGACCAGGAAGAGTTAATAAAACTATGAAACCATGTTGATTTGATCAACCCAAAACGACAAAGTGTTGTTGAAAAAAAATTCAATATATTAATTAATAATATAAAAGGCTTACCAGATAATCAAATCTTAAGAATAGAACATTTAATTAGTACGATAGTATATTCTAAAGGTAAAACAAAAGGTGAAATACTGTCACCATACCTACAGAATAAAGCAAATGAATTCGTAGCTAGCAGTCTTTTTAAGCACTATTCATCTGAGAAAGATTTTCAAGATAAAGTAAAAAAATTAGAAATCAAAAACAACAAGTTAGCAGCAAAAAAACTAATAAAACAAAATAAGCATGAGTATACAGCAAATTCGTTAATTTTGCCACTAATATAAGCAACATCAGAACAGTTTCTCTTTCTGCTGCAGTGAATGCACTAAAGCAATGGCAACTTTCTTTACTGGGGAGAGACCAAATTATTGGCTCTCAACAGGAACTATTTCTCGTTGGAATAAGGAAGTTGCTAAAATATCACTTCAACAAAATTGGACAGATAAACCAAATTCACCTTCTTATTCGTATGGTATAATGGCCGATGAAAGTACAAGAGGAGATAAAAAGGTTTTTTTGATTTGTTTTTTGTATTGGAATGAACCTACAAATAAACCAATTATCACTCTAGCAAAAATGATTGATATAAGTAAATGTAGTGGTGAAAACGTAGCCAAAACAGTAAGAGAAACATGTGAAAAAAATAATCTAAACCCAAAACAGTGTGGGTTTTGGCTTACTGACAATATGGCATATATGTCAGAAAACAAATCGGGTGCCGTCGTTGAATTTAATAAGCAAGCTAATGCATCTTCATTTAGAATTCCATGTGGCCTACATGCATTACAAATAGCCTTAGTTGCTTTCGAAAATGCTGCATTTGGAAAGCTAAATACTGTGTCAGGATTGTCTTTGCGAGAACATCCTCATAATCTTCTTCAGCTCGTATACCATCTACATGATGGTTATGGTGAAAGCTATAAAGAATGTCCATTAAATATAAAATCAAAAACAATACGAAATCTATATTGGACACTTCTTCAACATACCTTGAAAAAATATCAAAAGCCTATTTCAAGCTGATGGCGATATCAGTTAATAACAGCAAATCAATATCTTGAAAATTTTGATGCCCATTACCTCTTTGGAACTTGGTTTGTAAATCAGCTTGGCCAACTCAAAAATATACCTGAAGGGTATATTAAACAATGGAAAGTTTTTGTTGAATGGATTAACAACACAAAACTTAATCTTTAGGTAAAGTGCATGCTGCAATTCGGAAATTTTTTTTATTTAAATTTTTTTGAATTTCTAACCGGGTTTGATACCATATCTCGAGTGTTAGAAAATAATATGTTCAAACGTCTTCCTCCAGGATACCATGCGCATAAACTTCCTGATCAAGTTTTGTTTTGGCTTGAAAAATTACAAAGTTCAATTACTAACCCATATATTATTTTTGAAAAAGAATTTGTTGAAGCCCAATTGAAACATATAATCAGGAATTTATAGGTTTAATTCACAATATTAAACTTGGGTTAAAAAAGGCACGAGAAGGGTTTTTAAAATGGATGTGCTGCTGGACTCATTTACCCTTAACAATATGTTTGTTAGGTGGAGATAACGGACCTGACTTTGCACGAAGTGTTTGCCGTGTTTTCTTAAACCACTCAACAAATTTTGAACCAACTAAAAAAGAACTCCTATATACTGAACTATTAGAAAAAGATAAGTTAGAAGGATATATCTTATCATTTGGTTTATTTAATGCATTAATTGACGATTTTTCAGTCAACTGAAGAATGATCATAGTGAAACGTGACATGGTTCTATATATGCAAAAGTAAAAATTTTCTAGTGATTGTCCAAAGAAAACTTTTTTTGTACTAAGTTAATCATCTTTGAGTCTCTAATTAAAGTTGTA